AATAGTATGTTATGAGCCACAGTATTTGAGTCATCTTTAATTCAATTTTATCAATCATTGTTGTCATGGTCATTGTCATCAATTTTTTTTTTTTTTTAAGACATCATTTATTAATATAAAATCAGGTCTATATACATTACTATCTGAATGTTATAAAAAAACAATTTGCACTCACTATAATTTGTATGTTAAAATAAAATTCGGAATATTTGCTTCACTGTCTAGCTAAACAGCAATATTTCTATAGGTACCAGTTATTGTGCTGCTATTGGATTTTTTCTTTCCCTAAAGAAATAGTAGGAATAATTGAAAATGCACGTTTTTTTAGCCCTTGGACCATATTAAAGTTGAGCTAGTACAAGACAAAAAATAATTTATAACACCACTCCAACCATCAGTCAATTAATCCCGCTCCTCATTATAACATCATCAATATTACATACAGTACCTTTACAGTAAATTATGTAAATACAGTAAACAGTTGATGGAATTTTCTGCTACTGTATGCTAAGAAGCACAGGTACTGTACAGTATGCATAATTTCAAGCCTTGTATTTGATCAACATCACATTTGACACACTGTCCTATCAACTTTAATTACTGTACATTCAGGAGTACCTTAAAATAGTCAATCATAAATGTTACAGATTATTCAAAGAGCCATTGCAGTTGAACATGTGGTAACCAAATTACTCTGAGCATTCATATTCCAAAGGGAATTCCAATAATTTTATGCTACACTGTGTTCGGGTTTTTATGGATTTTTTTCCTGCATGTTCTTAGTTAAGTCTGTTTTAAAGTTCATGAAATAATCTGGAGGAAAGAGAGGGAATTGATTCTCAATTTTTAAATTCTGTACTACCTGTATGGTTGTTTAATTTAGTCTGATAATCAGTAAATAACAAGTAAATTAATATAAAAAAATAATTTCAGATTTACTGTACTACCTTTTCATTTCTCTCTTTATTTCAGAATTCCGTATCCATAGAAATACTGTGAATATAAATATAAGTATCCCTAGCAGGCTATTAAGAAAGAAAAAGAAGAAAGAAAAAAATATCAGGTTTTTTTTTATCAGTTTGTAAGCTATGGAACATAGGTATAGAGAAGCTCTCTCCATTTTCTGAATAAACATATCTTTAAGAAAATATTCATTACAGTAATGTAGCACAATAGAGGGGTTTTTTTTCAATTTCTTATTAAAATATTTAACAATGAATGGAAATTTAGTTGAAATTTAATGGCTAGGCCACTAAATTACCATTATCTACTGTAATGTGATCAAACGATGTAAAAAAGGTGAAATTAAAGTTTGTCTTCCTTTGGCAGCCAGAAATATTTATACGTTAATATTTAATAATAACTGTAAAAATCATTATTCGTAAAACACTTTTCAACTGTTAAAATTCAGAGCATACATTTCATGACACAAAAATAATTCAAGGATGTGGGTAATTGTATAATCATACACATTCCTATAATGTCTAGTTTTATATGCTTGGTAGGAAATTACAGTATATGAATGCAAAATTAATTTCAATAAAGTTTTTTTTTTTCATTATTGATTTTAATTGTTAGCTTCAGGTCGCCAGCGAGCCATATCATGGGAAGGATAAGTACAAAGAATGTCAGGCTCACATTAAAATGTTAAATGTTACTTGTTTCCGTGTATGTACTGTACAGTACTGTATGTCAAGTAGCACATAGTACAGTAGTATGGAAAATGCTTGTGTCTGGCTATATGAGAATTGACATCAATATACTGTAATTACAGACCCTATACGGTCTGTGACATATAATGATGTCGAGTACATTTTACTGTACGCGCTGCACTTAATATACAGTAGTAGAATTTAACTAATACTGATAGATCCTATTTAGGCTTTTATTCACATTATTATTAAAATTATCCAGAAAAAGTACAATGTCAAATTTGCAATCAAACAGAATTCACTTTATATAATTTCCAATTCAACAGAGGTTCATCAACATTTTTATGTCTTATGTTATTTTTTTATATGACGTTATGTTGTACAGTATTTATTATTATTCGTTATCAACCAAAAGTGGTGTGATTTCGTGAAATGTATCCTTTTTTAGCAACTTGGCTCAAGTGAATACATTTGTAAGGAGTACTGATATACAATATAAGCTGATCAGTGGAAGAGTTGTGCAAAAACAATTACAGTATAAAGATGTCCATTTTAGTACCCCTTGGTACCAAGGGGTATTCGTAAATTAAAAATTCATAAACTAGATCAGGTGTCTGTTTCCACTACCTAAACCTACTGTAGCTATACTCGTGCAGAAGCACAGTCCACCACGCTGAGCCTAGCTACTGCAAAATTTACCTTCGATAAAAACCTAATTATTGTAATCGCTGGCATTCTCCCATTTAACAAAATATTGTTTTAATTCTTATTAAAACTTCTGTATGTCGTATGGAGCTTTCTATTGTGTTCTTTCTAGTTTTGAGATCGCTGAATTGTGTTGTTTACATCATGGGACTATGTTTACATGCATATCGCAATCATCTAGCTTTCCGATGTCAATAAGTTGTTGACCCCAACACTCTTGTGCTGTCAATCCGACGACTCACGTTGGGGATAGTTTGTTGTTCTAATTAGGTTTATTACATTGATATAGTGACTATCATACCAGAAATGAAAAAAAAATTGAACAATATACTGTAAATACAAATCCAATTTTATTAAGAAAAATATATATTATCACTTTGAAAAACTTATAAAATCGGACTTTTTTACGTTATTAATTGATTGATGATGACGCCATCAAGAGCAAAGCCCATTCGTAAAATTGACTATTCGTAAAATTGACGTTCGTAAAATGGACGTTTTACTGTTAAAACAAATCCCAAGAACAGTATTTTTCAAGTGTCCATTTCCTTGAAGCATTCTATTATTAATAATTAAAGTTACAGTGTATTCTTGTCTTACTACCGGTAATATACATTCATAACAGGAAAACAGGCCATCTATTTTTTCCCTACAAATACTGTAACAAAGGAAACAAATTTGTGTTTTTCTTGAATTACAGTGTTCTTACATGACTACCTTAAATTTACAAGTAACTAATTGTTTCGTTTGTACTTGGCTAAGACCTTGAATAGAAAATTTGATAGCAATAACTGTGCACTTGAGACATTCCTACCATCGCAAGGGTTGAATTGCTAACTGTAGAGCTACCTGTAGCGAGGAAACATGTTCATACCAAATTCTACCAAATTTGTATATAAATCTGGCATAGTTTTTTCAACTTACTGTACCAGTAGCATATTATACTGTAATGTACCTGAACAATTATGCAGATTTTTTGTCGGATCAAACAATTCTTACTTGGTCATGCCAATCCCTGGGGATTAAGACACGCCTACATTACTGTAGGTATTACAGTACAGTAGTGTCTATTGCAGCACCTACAGTAGCACCCTTTTATAGACACTATAACACATCTTATCTTCAGTCCTGAAATATTCTATTATAAATAACTCACTGATCTCTACAGTTCATTAGGAAGGTAGACATGTGTCCTGCTATGAAAACCAATAAAATGAAATCATGTCCATGAAATACATATAGCACTACTACAGTATATGCTGTAGTATACACAATATTTTGTGTACAGTCAGTATATAGGGGTGGGTAAGCTATTGTATCCACATAGATCCATCTTTGGTTTTTTTCTCTTTCTTTAAAATTCTATGCTATTATTACTGTGTTTTGGCCTTAAAATTTATATTCTTCTCCTGCTTGTGGAAAGCACTGTATTTATTACAACACATACCACATTACCCACAATACATTTGAAGGGCAGAAGTATGACATTGAATTTCTTAATTTGTTTTATTTTCGATTTGCGCACAAGATAGTACAGTAAAATTACGTTTCCTGTGCCAGTGTAGCATCTTCAATAATAGTTTGCTATGAAAATCCAAAAATAAGTTTGACGTGGTGGTATTTTTTTTCCAGGTTCTACTGTACAGTAAAAATGTTTGTGCAAAATGTACAGAATGTTTTTTTTTCAATGGTAATAAAACCTTTATTTACAGTAGTGCATACTACTATAGTATATTGGGAATCAAAATGTTTTTTGCTTGGCAATAGACATATATACAGTAAGCCCTTAAGAATATGAGGTGTGTAACTACCTGTATGGTAAACGATCAATAGAAAATTAATACAATATTCAGCTAAACAGGAAATGTTTACACATTACAGTACCACTTTGTAAAATATACCACCAATTTCCTTGTAATAAATTTGTAGCATTATAAATTGGTTAGAAAGTGCTACAAACAAACAATTTACAAAAAAATAAACAGATCAGTTATTTTCAGTTTTTACTATCTACTAGAAGTCAATTTCATTTTTGATGAGGGCAAAGTATGGCAACTTGTGAATTGTTTTTACCTTTTATCTATTTTAACCTTTATATTTGAATTGTAAATTGAATTGTTTCTTATTTTTTTTATATATATATTGAATTTCCTACCTTTATATGTTGCAGTGTATAAACAAAGATTTTCTGATGTATTTTTTATATATATATTGGACCATAAAGATTGAATTGAACTGAATTAATCACTTTGCTCTATTAATAGTGAAAATCTAACAAATTACAATGCAACACAGAGGGATAACATACAAAAAAACTTGTTTTAAGATGTTTAAGAAGATAATCCTCTACATTTTTGTAAATAATTCACTACTGAGATTTTTTTCAAGATGAAAATGTGTCTAAATCCCATCAGTAGCAGCAGAGAAAGCTAGTGTCTCCCTGGCAAAAATTTGAAGGATCGACATTTAGCACAGGCACTGTAGTAATACTTAAAATGCTTTAAAAGGGGGTAATCCCTTATTGCTACACCAATTCCTCTTTAATGGAGTCTAGGAAAACCTTTTAATACTACTGACATCTCTTGTTACAAACATAATGCTTATAACATTGCTGCTTTACGCTAAAACATAGGAAAACACTACCTTCAAGTTAAATGGCCAAGTGGTTAAGGCAGGGGCACCGCAACTTACAGCCATAATTATCAGCGCTGGTTCAAACGGCACGCTTGCCTACATCCATAAAAAAATTACGGTTCTGGTGGTGGAACACATCTCCTCGGATAAAAACTATGCAGTAGGCCCAGTGCACACAATGGCTTGTGTGCAGAGTACATTTTTCGAGACGGGTAGGGGATTACCCCGGTGTACTGGTTCATACAGCCCCTGTGGACAGATGACAGATAGTTGGTACCAGTTTAACAAGGCAGCTCACACCTCGAACACTTTGAGACTTCAGTATGAATTCCCTTCGGTATAATAAGGCGCTACATAAACCAAACCATATTACATTTACCACAGTGCCAGCTCACTGCTGGTTTGTTTATTTTTATTTTTATCTTCTTAAATCTAAACCAAATCTGCCAATAATTATTGGTTCAAAATTATAGAACCCTCTGTCAAAGATGATCACATTAAGCTCAATAACGACCCTATTTATTTTCATCTTTTTGATGGAGGTGCGATTTTGCTAAGCACAGGAATGTCATTGTATTGTGACTGGAGAACAACAGAGAAGCGGGCGGAGAAAGTTCCGCTACATTCAATAAATGACGGTGCGGCCAAATTTGGGCCTAGCAAATTGACGCTCATAAAAAACCATTTCAAAATTCAACGAAATAAAGTATATATAGTGAACACACCTTATGGATGGAGACTTGTCATCTAAAAGTATTTCCTTTGTATTAGGCGTCCAGAAATTGCGAAAATGAAACGTGAATTGTCCGCTCTTTCACAAAATTCTCATTCAAACGTCCGTAGTTGGCCATTGATTGTTATTTACCTTTGTGTTGTTGCTTCCTGGATCTGTCCATGGAAGCGAGAGGAGACAGTGTTTTGAAAGTTACTTTAACATAATTAAAAAGACAACGAGAGGATAAACTATTGATATGATTGGGAATACATATATGTTTGCATATAGAAAAACTTATTTAAAGCAAATAATATGGAATAAATTGGAGCAATTGCTTACAAAACTGTAGGGGAATAGTGAATGGAATAGTCCTCGCCCCAGAATGCATTTTACCCAACGTGTTTATGTCGAGGGAAAAACACATTTGCGCATGACAAAATTCACCTGCAAGATGGCGACAAAAACATTAGGTTGTATGTCTGCAGCTGTTGCTGTTAGTATTGCTATATTCCTGCAATGTTGCGTAGCAGTAATGGACATTGAAGAGTTGCAAAATATACATTATGATATTGATATTCATAATACCCCAGTATTATTAGGAAGGGTGAGTAGATGAAACAATACGCAGCATTATTAGGCTGGACCAGGTCTTCGTTCGTTAGTTTGATTGAAGGCTAGGCTAGGATGTCCACTCACTGAGACTGTGACTGATGATAATATAATAGTTGCCAGGACCATGTAGGCCTAGGCGGCGCTAATGAACTTTCGCACCTAACTTTTAATTCTTAATTTTTTTTACTTGAATTTTCTTCTCACAGTCACAACACATAATTATAAAACATTTTTACATGATTCAACCACAGATAAAGTACATTTTTTCAACAAAAAGATACCTTTATAAATATAGGTTGATGCAGGTTTTCCGCGCTTGCTAGCACAACGAGCTGTACTTTTTTGCAATCAAGTAAGAAATTGCCAGAACGTCCGAGTCAATTCTTAAATTTGGAAACCATTAAAGGCCAGTCTTTTAATTTTAATTGGAATTTTCCCATGAAACATCCAACAACAAAATGTGGCATCATGCAGTACCATCTTTTTGAACCTTCTTGTCGTAATCGAGGTTAATCGAACCAACGTTTGTCATTGGCTTTAATAGTTGTTTTTCTGGACTTGGGCCTAGGCCCCTAGCTAGGCCCTATTTTTCGATGTACGCATTTGGATCATTACTAATTTTTGAAGTAATTATTGTACGTGTGAATTTCATGTGAACACACATAGTCAAACAACAGCACCATAACAATATAAAGAATGACATACAATACAATACGGCAAATAGATAAGTTTTCATAAACGTTTAATTAAAAAACTTCACGCTGCAAACTCAGACATTCTGGCAATTTTTTTACTGATTGCAAAATGGCAGCCACTCGTAGTGCTAGCGAACACAGATTCACTGTGCTTATTTGTGGGCTTATTTGTTGAAAAAGGTACATTGTGGGTGGTTAAATCAGGTGAAAATGTTTGTTAATTATATGTTGTGACTGAGAAGAACGTTGAGGTAAAAAAATTAAGAATTAAAAGTTAGGTGCGAAAGTGCATTACTGCCGGCCTAGGCTAGGTGCCGTCATACTTAACTTCTTTCTACTGTCTAGCCTAGGTGTTTTGATTAGTTACCATGAGTAGAACTGGTTAGGACTAGGCCTACTGCTGCAGCCATCAGGTAAATTAGATGGCGCTTACTACGCACTTCAATTAAAACCAGGCTCCGGAGGAAAACAATTATAATATTATTGTAGAAAAACTTTTTTTAAAGACACAAAAAGTATATTTGACAAAGAAAACTTGGAAGCAGTTAATGAGATACACCTTGTTCCCCAGTTTTTAAATATTCAAAAATCTGTATCTCATTAACCTCCTTTTACTTTACGAAGGAAGCCAGATTCCTTTCCTGAATCTGATCAGAGATTTGATCTGATCCACCTCGATCGTTTTTGTGCCATCTATAGCAATGCCCCTCGTGGTTTACTCCTACAAAAGAGTGAGTGATGAGAAGGGTAATTTACAAAAAAAAAAACCCCATTGTTAATTTTTTTTTTGTTAAATCATTTTCTGTCATTGTTATGTACTGTATATTATTTTATTTGTTTCTTATTTTGTGACGTAATTACTGGGTATTAGGCCTTTTTTCATGCCCTTTTGAAAATGTTTGTATAAATGTATAAACAATGCATTTAAATTTTAATAAATCTAATAATAAACCATCAAAATGATAAACAGTATGGTATCCTATCTACAGTAAGTTATAATATGTTTATGCATGATCATGTTTGTGAACATATGAAACAGATGTGGAAATATGTAAAATCCGTTATCTCATAGTATACTACAGTCATTGTTATCAGGTCAATTCAAATTGATTCTTTTGCATGTTGATGTTAGCTTTTGATTAAGGATTAGAATATTCAGACACACACATAAAAAAACCGGGTATTGCTAAACCCCGCAAACCTCCAAAAAACAGTGCAAACCCCATCCAAACCTTGTGATAGTGATTGAATCTTGTAGTGTAGGACTCACTTGGTATCTCGGTAAAAAAAAAATTATAATTTTATGTTTGTAACAACCAACTTTTTGGGGTAAAAAGGCCATTTTTTGTTAAAAATACCTAAAAAAACACCGCAAACCTCCAAAAACACAGTGCAAACCCCGTCCAGACCTTGTGATAGTAATTGAATCATGTAGTGTAGGACTCACTTGGTATCTCGGTAAAAAAAATTATAATTTTATGTTCGTCACAACCTATTTTTGGGGTAAAAAGGCCATTTTTTGTATTTAAAAAATTGCTAAACCCTGCAAACCTCCAAAAAAACACCGCAAACCCCATCCAAACCTCGTGATAGTGATTGAATCAAGATTTTACCCCAAAGATAAGTTGTTATAAACATATATTTATTATTTTTTTATACAAAAAATGGCCTTTTTACCCAAAAAGTAGGTTGTGACGAACATAAAATTTTAATTTTTTTTTACCAAGATACCAAGTGAGTCCTACACTACATGATTCAATCATTATCACAAGGTTTGGATGGGGTTTGCGGTGTTTTTTTGGAGGTTTGCGGGGTTTAGCAATTTTTGTATACAAAAATGGCCTTTTTACCCAAAAAGTGGGTTGTGATGAACATAAAATTATAATTTTTTTTTTACTGAGATACCAAGTAAGTCCTACACTACATGATTCAATCACTATCACAAGGTTTGGATGGGGTTTGCGGTGTTTTTTTGGAGGTTTGCGGGGTTTAGCAATTTTTGTATACAAAAATGGCCTTTTTACCCAAAAAGTAGGTTGTGATGAACATAAAATTATAATTTTTTTTTACTGAGATACCAAGTGAGTCTTATACTACATGATTCAATCACTATCACAAGGCTTGGATGGGGTTTGCACTGTGTTTTTGGGGGTTTGCGAGGTTTAGCAATTTTTTTATACAAAATATGGCCTTATTTTATACCCCAAAAATAGGTTGATACGAACAAAAAATTATGATTTGTTTTTTATTAAAATATCAAGTAGAGTGCTATACTACATGATTCAATCACTACAGTAGCACAAGGTTTAGATCCATGGGG